TTTTTTTCCCAACTCCTAGGCTTCCGCTAAGTGGACGACTCGCCGCCAATCATCATTACCCAGCAAGCAATAGCCGTCATTTCAACGTCTCTGTTAACTATAGACCCGATATAGTCCGGCTACGTGTAACCCAGTTCTAGCCCAAATAACCTTGAATTTGGTTTCATTTCGTTAGTTCATTTAACTAGTTCAAAATAACTTGTGAGATGTATGATATTCCATCATATAAGCAAAGTCAACAGCGTTTACAAGGTGTTTGGTTTCATTTCTTTGACATGTTCAATATGTAGCCTGTGCGTAGCCACGATTTAGCTCGTAGTCAGAGCGGTTTTCTGTAGCCCACTTATAGTCTAACCTACAAAGATATAAGTGTCATTTCATGACATGGTCTATATGTATCCACGATTTAGCTCTAAATTGGACGGGCTATGTGTAGTCTGCTTTTAGCCCACCCGCGAAATCGAGGCAATCTGTGGTCTAATTTTAACGGCTTGGCTATTCACCTTATTCTGCCCCGCCCACTTTTAATACTTCGCTAAACTGATACGGCACATCCGGTAACTAGTTCAGTAGTTGTAAGATTGTTTATAGCTAGCTATAACTGTGGCGAAATGACAAAGAACGTTAATGCCATAAATGTTATAAATTGGGAGCACGGTGAAAACTTCTTACGACGATCAGATGGTCTCAAATTGTCCCATCCATCGTCACTGTTAACGTGGGTAGACAATATGAAGAAGTGGCCAGAGGTAACCTATGGGGACATATTTACCTTCTTCGTCCTGTCAGAGGGAGTTGATGGAGCAGCAATGAAAAATTATAAAAGTACCGAGGCCTACCAATATTTACATAGTGGGAAAGTGGGTCGTGTACTGTTACACAGCGAGGGTGATTTCGTAAATTGTAAGCCAAACTCATACGTCATCCTCCCGAGCTGCTTCTGTTTACAGCAGTGAGCGCAAGCTAGATTCAAGTGATTATTACGTTTTGAATATGGATATTTTTCTTACAAAAACGCTTCGATTCGCTACAGAAGGCCTTTGTTCACCCCCCGGAGCCGTGTGAGACACTTTTTTTTTTATGGATGGGCGATTTTTATTTAACTTGTTTTGGACTGAAGCAATGCAACACCCGCTGAGTGGCATTAAACAGCTTGAAAGATCAAAGACAATTTTTAATATAACTCCGACTGGATTCGTCTGAAAGAAGAAAGTCATATACACCTAGGATGCCTCGGGGGTGAGTAAAACGCAGCCTAATTTTCATTTTTGGGTGAACTAACCCTTTAATGTGAAATGTGTTGTTTTTTTGATACAAGTTTCGAAGCTTCCCCAGGTGAAAAATAAATATATTTAAATTGTGCTTTTTCAGAGTAGGTTACATCTCTTGCTCGTAGTGAAACTGTGTTAGACACATTAGTCAGTGGGTGAGCGCCTGGTCCGTGTACGTTTTGATCATTTCATCTCCTATTTGGAATGCAATAACGAGAAATGGAAAAACGGCTCGTTTATTCGTTTTTCCATTTAGTTTAACATTTTTCGTTTGGGGGTTAAAATTCGGTTTATGGCTTCAATATTTCATTCGCACGTGTGGGCGGTGCTGAAACGCTCCTTTCATCTGATTGGTCGAATCGCTCCGCCTTCAGTACGGTCTTTTCATTCTTTCAGGCAGAATAAGAGTCAGTACGAGTGCGGCACTATAATGTCTGAAACCACCACTCACTGTTAATTACGCATAATATTTTAATCAGATTTTGCTGGGCACATAATTCGTGCTGCTGCGACTTGCAAGTGACCCCTTTAATTATTTTTAATACATTTAATACTACGTCTTTTTCACCTGGGTCGGTGTTGAACGTAACATCACTATCAGCGTGTGAGTAGTGTCTTTCCTCGTTCTCCAGTTGCTCAGTATGACTTTTATGTCTTATAGCTATGTGCTGATTTTATGGTGAGCTTATTGAGTTTTCTCGTTCTCTAAGTGGGAGATGAGGGTAGGTAAGCTTAATTGTAGGTTACATCTCTTGCTCGTAGTGAAACTGTGTTAGACACATTAGTCAGTGGGTGAGCGCCTGGTCCGTGTACGTTTTGATCATTTCATCTCCTATTTGGAATGCAATAACGAGAAATGGAAAAACGGCTCGTTTATTCGTTTTTCCATTTAGTTTAACATTTTTCGTTTGGGGTTTAAAATTCGGTTTATGGCTTCAATATTTCATTCGCACGTGTGGGCGGTGCTGAAACGCTCCTTATTGCATTCCAAATAGGAGATGAAATGATCAAAACGTACACGGACCGCGCCTCTTGTGTATTTTCGGTTTTATTTAGTGTAGGGTATTTAGGGCGTCGCCTACGCCGAAACTTTCGTGTTTTTGTTTCACATTTTTATTTGGTTAGGAAAGGTTTTTCTTATTTTGGCGCTGTAAATATGTGCACGCGCTGCTGATGCGTTTCCGGTCATCTACGTGAATAAATGACTGCCTTTTGCCATTATATGCTGCTGTCCTGGCTGTTTTCTGCTCTCTTTTTCATTCATCGAATTTATTCGTTTTCAAATG